GCAGTCCTTGCTGTGCTGTTTTTGCTCTCCAACAGCATGTTAAGGAACACACTGAGCCAGGGTCGCCTGAGCGGTCATCAGTGGAAGGGAGCTTCTATGTAGACAATTGTCTACAAAGTCTGTCCTCCCCAGAAGATGCCAAGTGCTTAGTGGACCGTCTGAGAGAACTGCTGTCTGACGGTGGTTTTGAGATTCGTCAGTGGGCCAGCAACCGTCTTGAGGTCGAGGCACACCTTCCGTGAGAAGCACGCGCACAGAGCACAGAGCTCTGGTTAGCTCAAGACCAATCGGACGTGTATGAGTCCACACTCGGACTCAAGTGGAACTGTCTTGCCGATACCCTTGGGTTCCGGCACCGGCAAGTAGAGCAAGGGGCAGTCACAATGCTCAGTATTTACAGAGTCCTTGCAAGCCAGTATGACCCACTGGGTTTCCTCATTCCCTACACTACCTGGGCTAAGGTACTGGTTCAGCAGTTGTGGGGAAAACAGCGCGGCTGGGATGATCCACTACTACCCGACGACCTGCTCAGAGCCTGGGAAGAGTGGCAATCAGAGCTTCCCACACAGTCTAGTATTACCCTGCCTCGATGCTACACACCAACCATAGACCAGTCCAGCGTCACCAGGGAAATCCATATTTTCTGTGACGCCTCAGAAAGGGCATTTGGTTCCGTCGCATATCTACACACAGAAGACTACAAAGGTAATGTGCAAGTAGCCTTTGTCATGGCAAGGTCAAAGGTTGCCCCTAAACGCCACCACACCATCCCTAGGCTGGAGTTGTGTGCCACACTGAGTGGCTCTCAATTAGCCAAGCTACTGGTAAATGAGCTAACTCTAGAGATCAGTCGCAAGGTGTTATGGACCGATTCAACCACGGTGCTGTCATGGCTTCAGTCAGAGTTCTGCCACTACAAGGTGTTTGTAGGTACGAGAGTGGCAGAAATCCAGGAACTGACTAATCAATGTCACTGGAGGTATGTAGACACAGGCCAGAATCCAGCTTATGACCTTACCAGAGGTAAAACACTCAGAGTACTATCCCAACAGAGTCGTTGGAGTCATGGCCCAGAATTTCTACTTCAACCCCCTAATGAATGGCCAGCAAACCCTCTTGCAGACATATTGGGCACTGATGAATCTGAGTGTCAGAAGAATGCTTTCTGTGGTGCCACCATGATCTCACCTTACCCACGCTTGCCAGACATCAGCAAGAACAGCAGCTGGAAGGAACTGGTAGAGGCAGTTGTGCAGGAGGCTCATGGGGCAGCTAATGAACAGAAGAGTCCTACAGCAACAGATTATCAAAGGGCAGAAGCCCATATTCTCTGCTGTATCCAGCGAGACAGTTTCCCAGATGATTATAAACTCTTGGAAGCAGGTAAAGCTGTCTTCCCATCCAGTCGCTTACTTACCCTTGCTCCAGAGTTTGATCACTCCACTAAGGTCATCCGCGTCGGTGGACAGCTATGGCATGCAGAAGGAGTTGATCCCTCGTACAAACACCCAGTAGTTCTAGACCCTCACCACTTTGCTACAAAGCTCCTAATTCAAGATTACGATTCTAAGCTGTGTCACCCGGGTCCAGAACGCGTCTTTGCTGAGATAAGGAGAGCCTTTTGGATCCTGCGTGGGCGGGAGGCTATCCGGAAACAACAGCATTCCTGTACCGACTGTCGCAAGTGGAAGGCGAAGCCAGTAGTGCCGAGAATGGCTGATTTGCCACCAGCACGTTTGCGACTCTTCAAGCCACCAATTTATAGCACGGGGATGGACTGCTTCGGACCCTTCCAAGTGAAGATTGGAAGGCGTTCTGAAAAAGGGTGGGGTATTATATTTAAGTGCCTCATGACCAGGTGCGTCCACCTTCATGTCCTTACAGGAGTCGACTCTGACTCCTTCCTTATAGCCTTACGACACTTCATTGCACGCCGTGGGACGCCCTTTGAGCTTCTCTCAGATAGGACTGGACGATATGGCAAAAATTTATATCACGATATATTTCTTAATTTTGGTCGATACGATATAATTCCGATATCGATATGGACAATATTAAAAAGCCTCAGGAAAAAACTGTCGAGGACACGCACAATGGATGTCTGCAAACTGAATTTGCAAAGTCTATAATCCCTCCAGGCTCCTCCTATTAAAATTATATAATTTT